TCCAGGCTGAAACGAACGGGGCCTGTAAGCCCTAAGTTTTAGGCTTTTAGGCTGAATGTCCGGGATGGGCCCTGCAGGGCCCGTGTGGCTACGCAGTATGCCACACAGGTCCATAAGGACCTGTTTGTTGAAAAAAAGAAAAAAATAAAAGAAAAAACATAAGGTGAGTTATCAGTCCGGAAGTATCTTGCCTGGCAGTCTGTCCAGATACATGTAGTGGAGCAAGGTCCATTCGAGATAGATCGAGAGAAGAATATAGCTTAGGTCCATTCTTGGGCTTGCACCTCGGACAACTCTGACATCACGATTCCAAAATCTGTACCCATAACTTTTTCCACAGATGTTTCCACAGATGGCAGGGACGTTGCAGACGGATATAATCTCAGCAGAGCCTCATCACAAGCATAGTGTTCCCCTCGTGGCTGAGGGTGAAAGAGCATCAGTTGTTGCCAATGGTAACTGGTCCGTTGGACGACAAGATGACAAATTGGAGAAGGGGCCTACCCGACCCACATCTTAAGAAGAATGTGTGGCGGTTCTCTGCTGCTGATCTGCAAAGGTCAGCGACGGATATCCTCTGCCCGTTTTTCTTAAGAAATGGGGTCCTGGCCGATCTTTGCCACTGATCTGCACGATCGGCGGCCAAGATTGGCCACTTTTCGGACTTGAAAAATCTGGGCCTACAGGACCCGGTTTCGAAATTGTGGGGAGGGCCCACCCCCACAAGACCTCGGGAGCACATACGCGCCGGCCCAAAAAAAAATTCAGGCCCCAACGAAAATGTGCTGAGGGCAACCGGGAGGGAACCGGCCCGGGCTACCGGCCGGTCCAACCGCGAGGATCGCAGATGGGGCAGGGGTCCCCGGTCCATCCGCGGACCAGCCCTGCTGTACTCTCTTTTCAGCGCACCTGCACATTTTTGTCAAGGTGCAAGGTACGTCTAAGTAAGACCCTCATGACAGGTAGGACAACTGTCATAAGGATGCGGGTGATGGTAGCAGCCCTCCTGCTGATCTACAGGACGAAAACCGTTCAGGTAAGCAACTTCGTCACAGGAGGAGCCAGGGCGGCTAACATTAACCATACCTCTGAAGCATGCACGACAGAGGGCATGCCGGTTGCAGGCCATGACGATTGTGGGGCGTTCACCATCACACTTAAGTGCATATTCGCTATAACGCTCGCAGGCACAGATGGGACATAATGCATCTTGATGTAGACGATGTTCACAATCCGGATACAGGTGGCCCCTGCCGACAACGAGCCCAAAAAATTATACGGTTGTAGTGATGTCGACAAAGTCGATGCTTTCCACAACCAAGTGTAACTGTGTCAGTGATCTCACAAAGAAGGAGGTCACAAGGTGTTAGTGCAGCATGAGGGGGAATGAAGACTAAAGCAGGCACGGTGACAGACGTGAAGGTAGGCAAAGAGACAGACACAGAAACAGGAATGGAGACAAGTACGGAGGCAGGCACAGAGACAGGTGCAGAGGCAGGGACGAAAGTACACGAGGTACCCGTAGTGTCAGTAATCTGGAAGGAGACAGACAAAAAAACAGGCACAGAGACAGGTACGGAGGAAGGCACAGAGGTAGGCGTAGAGGCGGGCATGGAAGTACACAAGGTACCCATCGGGTCAATGACCTGGAACAATTGCAGGTTAGGGTAATTACGCACGAGATCACAGATGGCAGTAATAGTTCGCACCATAACACCGCCATTCCATAATTCCCAAGAACCAAAGGCACAGACAAGAGCGGTGTAGTGGCCAGGAAGATGTAGAATATAGGCACAAACGTGCGAATAGTGGTCCGGGTCGGCACCCGAAGGGGCACGCTGCATATTAAGCCGGCGCCTTATCAAAGCAGTCTCCAAAACAGAGACATTGAATCCCCGATGTGGAGTGTAATTACTATCTTGCGGGGGATGCAAAGTCGGGTTATCGTCATATAACTCACGTTCCTGAGCATCAGGATCGGAAGCAATGGCCAAGAAATCAGAGTGAGTATATGGTTCCCGACGATAGGCTTGTAAGCAGATGTTAGTAGCAGCGAGGCCACACATATTCGGTCGAGGCCGGTCAAGCGAATTTTCTACAGAATCTCCTACAGTCCCCTTGCCAAGTTCATCCTCGGATGGTCCTTCACCATCATCCCTCCTATTTTGTGTTTGCCGCGTTGCAGAAAGGTCTGCAGTCGAAGAGTGTCGCAGGCGTGGTAAGGATGCTTGGGGCGGCAAAAGACGGGGACGGGATGTTGGGGAGGGTTGTGGTGGGAAGAATGAATGGGTTTTTCTTCGTCCAAGAACAGAGATGGAGGAAAGGGGAGTAAGCTGAGGTTGGGAAGTAGGCCGCAGCCTGCGTCTAGGACGGCGAAGTAGGCTTTCTGCAGGGGCAGAACATGATGACGGAGTCTGTGTGGATAAAGTGGTTTGTGGATTAGGAAGAGGGGTAACAGATGGAGACAAAACCAGGGGAGGTAGGAGTGGTGAATGCGCTGAAAATTGAACGTGGTAGACTCTTCACCAAAACTGCAAAACTGTGAAAGAAAGAAGAATGTTGTAAAAGAAAGAAGATATTTGTGTCAATTTTTTTTATTAATTTTTTTATTTTTTTCTCCCTCTGCCATGGTAACCCCGGACCCAGACACCGGACATTCCAGACTGTTTCCCGGACCATTGTCTGGACCGGTCCGGACTGTCTGGTGTTTCGGACACCACCGGACACCGGACAACACCGGACACCGGACAACACCGGACACCGGACAGTCTGGACATGCATCCGAGGTCCGGGGATGTCTAGACCGAAAAAAAAAAAAAAAAAAAAAAAAAAAGGTGCGGGGGGTGGAGGGGTTGTCGGCAGGAACTCACGTGCTTTGCACTTCGGAGGAAGTTCATGCAGCAGAGCACCTGTCTTGCTGCAAATCAACAACCACATTGAATTACCAAACATGCAGAGTTGTGAACAGTGCAAAGCATGCAGAAGACTAAAAAAACAGAAAAAAAAAATCAAAAAAAGTTTGAAAAAGTTTAAATAACTTAGAGAAGTTTGAACTTGAAGAGTGTTCATATTACCAGCACTGTCAGTGCCCTCTCTCTCTCTCTCACACACACACACACACACACACACACACACACACACACACACACACACACACACACACAGACGCGCGCGCGCGTCAGTGGGATGTCTTGCGCAATGTAGACAGGGGTTCTGATTCGGAGTCGCCCTCTTCCTCCGACGAACAACCATCTTTCTCGTCGCCTTCGCCTTCGTCCTCCTCGCCACTGCCATCTGTCCCATCGCAGCCACCGCTCTCGTCGTCACCATCGCCGCTGCCATCACTTTCGTCTCTGCCGCCATCATTTTCATCAGCGCCGCTACCACTTTCATCGCTGCTTGTCCTTCCTGGCGCTACTTCCTCCTCCTCTTGCACGGGCTGCTTCTGCGGTCGTCCCCGCTTTCTTGTGAGACGTGCGGGTGCAGGACCTTCTGCCAAACTGCCACCTTCCACGTCCTGAGCCTCCTCATCACCTGTCCGGCCTCGAGTTGCAACCTCCTTTCGAGGTCTCCCTCTCCCTCGTTTGGCCGGGATCGAGGGCGGTTCACATGCAATTGCCATGGCAGCTTTGTATTTTTTGGCATGCCCAACGATCATGGTCCTCGTGGCCTGATCCAACTCATGCAAATGTTGCCGGTCCAGAAACTTGGAAGCCTTTGTGGCCTTCCTCCACTACTCGTTGAGTTGTCTCTCAAGTTCAAGCAGATTGCTGCGCAGTCGATGACGTTGGATTGTGACCTCCTTTGGAATAGGCATTTGTGGTGCTTCAACGGGATTGCCGTCGTGGTCGGAGCCTGAGTCATCGTTCTCACCTGCATCACCGACCAGCTCTGTTCTGTGCAGCCGGGCACGCCACTCCGCCAACCGCATTCGTGCATCCTTGGCCATCTCATCCCGTGTGAGATCTTCCACTGGTTCATCCTCTTCCCATTGCGGTGAACCCTTATCGGCCTTCGGCTTCTTGATCAACGCATCCAACAAATGCTGGTTCCATCTGTTGAAAACCAGTGTGCTAAGCTTGATGGCACCGAGGTTGTTACAGAGACGACTATGAATTCGTTCGAACAAGCTCCAGTTCCTCTCGCAACAAGAGGAGGAGGACGCTTGTCCAAGCAGACGAACGACTTGCTTCTGGAGGATGGGCATGTCACTGCACCACTTCCTCCACCACCTCGCTGGCTGCATCAGACGGGCCTGCATCCTTGCATCTCTACAATTGTGTCCCCCAGTGCCCTCAATCCAACAACAATCCTCTGCGTCGACCTCAACAAACGACGACTCTTTGCATCACGAGTAAAGCCACATCCAAACCCATCTGCAACCTCTGCATTTGTTTCTGGCCGCGACGCTCTGTATTCCAGATCCAAGAACAACGCAGCACAATGTAGCGGTGATGTCATTGCATTCCAGCGCCACATGATGATCTCGTCGAGTTCGTCCTTCTCCGCTTCGGCAAAGTGCTTGCTGTGACGCACGTGCGGAGGGCACGTGCGGAGATGGTGTGAGAGAGAGAGAGAGGGAGAGGAGATGGACACACACATGAAGCAACAGCTGAGTGGAGGTCCAGTCCGTCTCAATGAACGAACGAACAACAGAATGAATGAACCTGCCGCCCTGGACCTAGGCCGAAGTGATATACCGGCCTGGGTCCAGTAGCGGAATAACCTGGTACTGGACCAGGGTCAGGCCGGCGGCCTGAAACTGGTCCGGCCTCCTTGCCGGGCCGGAGGGATACCGCTCCACTTGCTCTCCCTTAGTTTCTCCACTCCGCTGTCCATACGGACATACACCTTGCTAATGGTGGGGCCCGTGCCATCAACCTTCTTCAAAAGCTTGAGGAGGTTCTTGGACGTCTGCATCACCTTCTCGACATCTGCCCAGAAGGTGTCGTCCAAAATGGAATGCGTCACCTTCACAAACAGATTGCGCAGCGAAGTGTGCATGATCGCTGGCTTCCAGTCGTCATCTGTCACACACGCAGGCAGCGGCAAATACAACCCCTGGAGGCTTGACAACATGATGAAGTTTGTGGCAAACCGGGTCGCACCCGGTTTTGACACTACACCGCCATTGGAGTAGTGGATCAGGAGGTCCCGCACCCGCGAATGGTTCGTGAAGAACTTTGCAAGCTCCGATGCCCTTTTCATAATTGCACCGACCCACCCGATCTTCGCGAAAGACTCGAACATCAAGTCGAGGGAGTGTGCTGTGCACAAGACAGAGAAGATGTGAGGGTAATCTGCTTCAATCATTCGCCCTGCGGCTGCACAAACAGCAGCATTGTCCATAATGACCCCCACCCCTGCCTCCGCACCTATCTCCTCTATTGCTCTTCAGAATGGCGTAGTATGGTGAGGCGGCCTTGTTGCGACGTGACATACACACACTTCTCCAAAAGATGGAGCCTTTAGGGAAGGAGACCATCACGTTGATGTGTGGTCTCTGTCGGCGATCTGTCCAACCCTCAAGCTGCAACATGCAGCCAGTGGTTGGCCACTCCTGTCGCAACTCCTCCACCCTCTTCCCGACCACTTCGATCCTCTTCGTCCTTGCGTTTTCGAACTTCGTGTCCCTGAAGCCTTTCGGCGCATTCATGAGCGCGTGCACCATTTTGTCCCAGTACTCGCTCTTCATCATGTTGAACGGGATGCATTCGGCCGTCATCCAGTCGTCTATCGTGCGCTGCGTTTGCTCGTGTGCCGTAATGATAGCAGCGCTGTCTGTGATCGTTGTCTGGCAGAGCCCAACTACAGACCCCGGTGGATCCACAACTCCTGCCGCCGACGTCCGCGGATTCGTCTGGCGGAGCCCTACCGTAGACCATGATGGATCCAAAACTCCTCTCGACGTCCGTGGAGCATTCTCATCCTCCGATGACTCCTCCATTTCGGGCTCTCCCATTTTCGCCCCCAACTCGGACCTGACAGCCGACCTACCCTTCTCCCTCCTCAAGTACTCTTTTGGTATAGTACCTCTGAGGCGCTCAACGTCGCATCTCGACCCACTGGCTTGTCGCAGGAATTGCATACACGTTTTTTGTTCCCCTTGTCGGCTTGGCCACTGAGTCCCACTTCCCTGAAGTGTTTCTTCACGGCCTGGCTACTGCTTTTAGTCATCCTGCAAGCACACAAAGAAAGCGAAACGAACAACACTTGTTGAAGTCGGTTGACTCCCTGGCGCTCAATGCTCTCCCTCGTCCACTCTCCATTCACTCCCGTGCCCTTAATGCTCTCCATCCTCCACTCTCGATTCACAAAAATCAACCGTTCAATCAATCGATCAATCAATCAATCAATCAATCAATCAGTCAATCAATCAATCAACCAATCAATCAACTGGTCAATCAAACAGTCAATCAATCAAACTGAATTAATCAATCAATCATTCAATTAGTCAATGAAGAGAAGCCTTCGTTGATAGATGGATTGCGTTGATTGATTGATCAGTCGATGGGTTGATTGATTGATTGATTGATTGATTGATTGATTGGTTGATGGTTTGATTGGTTGGTGGATGGTATGATTGACTGATTGATTGATTGATCGATTGATTGGTTCATTGAAGTTGACTGATTGATTGATTGATTGACTGATTGATTGATTGATTGACTGATTGATTGATTGAGCGAGGGATAGAGCGATTGATGGATTAAGCGGCCAATAATCGAACAATTTCGAAATTTTGACAGCACAACAGCACCCCATTTGGGGTCAAATGGTTGCCAAAAACAGGAGTGGCTTGCTGATAATCAACCGAAGAATCAATCAATCAATCCCAAACGTAAAAAATGCAAACGAAAAATGAACAAAAGGTCAGACAAACTCTACGTAACAAATATGGAGGGGGAAAAAAAAGGAACGAGGATCAAGTTCCATTCAACGTTTCAACCATTCAAACAAAAAGAAAGAAAGTACAAAGAGAGAGAGAGAGAGAGAGAGAGAGAGAGAGAGAGAGAGAGAGAGAGAGAGAG